GAAAACAGCACAAAGAAAGACAACATCTACCAGTCCTCTTTGCATTTACAAAATCATTTAACTGTAGCCAAAAAGTACATAATAATTCATAATAATTCAAAGCTAACCTCTGCAGAGCTGGCCTTCAGTGGTGGGTAACTGACCTTGGGACATCTGAGGATGCAGCTCTTTGGTAAAGTCTTGCCTAGCACTCCAGGGTCCTAATCTCCAGCACAGCAAAAAAAAAAAAAAAAAAAAGGAGGAGGGGTGTGGGGTGGGAACAGTTCATCACGAGTAATTGTGAGCACATCCTATTAGCAATTTTCACCTGAGAGGAGCCTGCTTCTGATGCCCCCACCCCTCCCCTCACTTCCTGTAAACCCAGTCACACAACCATTGGCGGAAAAGCATGTGTTTAAGAAGTAAATTCTTCCGGTGTTATACCAGTGTTTTATTCATAGAACTTGCTTAGCCATGACTGAATCCACCATCGCTTTTAACTCGGGTTGACTCTGCCTCTGTGCTGAGTTTAAGGTTAGTACAGCGTCTATACTAATGCTTCAACCCAGTTGAACTTCAATACAGTTCAGGTTGTGGTGACACTTCCCCCCCCCCCAAACCATAAAGTTATTTTCATTGCTACTTCATAACTGCAGTTTTGTTACTGTAAGTATCTGTGTTTTCCTAAGGTCTTAGGTGATCCCTATGAAAGGGTCCTTTGACCCCTCCAAGAGGTCACCACCCACAGGTTGAGAACCACTGGTGTAGACCCTGACTCCCATGTGCTTCACCTCATAGGCCTCTGAGGGTCATCGAGGGCTGATGGATGCCCTTCCAAGGCAGGGACCTTTGCCAATTCATGAGTGGGGTGAATGATGGCCGACTTGCCAGAAACTGGACCAGCCCCATGGCACCTGTGGACCAGGAGGGTTGAGTCCAGGGCCCAGCGTGGTGGACCTTGTGTGCTAAACAGGAGGTGCCCTTCAGCATGGAGGAGCCTGACCCTTGAGTCCACCTCTTGAGTCGTCGTCGTCCCTTCTTCTCCTGTGTCCTAGGCCACCCAGCTGTCCTGTCTTCTCCCTGAGCCACCAGCCACTCACTCAGCACACTGATTCTAGAGTAAAGTGGCCTTCAGTCATTCTTGGGACTCCATGGGGCCCTCAGAAAGGAAGCAAAGTTTAATAAGTCCAAGTAGGTTTTCTGGTACTTTTCTTCCTGGAAAAGTTAGAAACCCACACAATTTAAGTTCTGTGGACAACCTATTTGTGTGTGTGTGTGTGTGTGTGTGTGTGTGTGTGTGTGTGTGTGTTGTGTTTTAAATAAACTGCCAACCATAAAAATAAATGAAAAGATCAATGTTGGTGCCCAGGCTATGAATCATGATGTAGAGAAGGCCTGGACCCAGGATCAAGAGAGCTGGGTTCCCACCAGCCTGGCTGCCTGCCTGTTGCCTGCTGGCTGTGTCCCAGCCCCAATCTTTCTCATCTGCTGAGTGGCATGTGGGTGGATTAGGGCTGCAGGTGGAGAACGGATCATACCCCTCACCGTTTGGTTGGTAGGATTAAGCGAAATTAGGGGACCACAGGCTTCCTTTGTGAACAGTCTAGCTCTCTCCAGGTGTGAAGTATGTCTTCCCACCGGAGGATCTGCAACACTGTAGAAAACACTGAATTCTTAGTTACAAAAGTAAGTTCACCGTGGGGCCAGCAAGATGGTCCAAAAGCATTTGCCGCATGGCCTGATGACCTGAGTTCATTCCCGGAACCCATGTATAGTAGAAATAGAGAACCAACTCCAAAACTTGTCCCCCGGCCTGCCCCCACCCCTGCCTTGTTCACACATACAATAATTATTAACTCATAAATTAACCAAACATCAGCACTGGTGTAGTTTTGACAGCATAATGTAGGCTGGAAACTTCACCTGTGTCACGGAAGGAAGGGAGGGGCTGGCACCCGGGAAGAACTGGAAGCTGTCCAAAGGGGGCATTTCTCAAGTTCAGTGTGCTGTAACTGTGAACCTGCCTGGAGGCTCTCCAACAGCATAAGTTCCTGTCCCGCCCCCTCCCGAGACACCTGTCCTTTGTCTACTCACACTTGTCACCAGACTCCATCTGGTTGTCTCCTGGATGACCTGGGCATGTCAGATGCCAGAAAGAGGCAGAAGACTTCTAAGGATTTCTAAAGGGACAGAATCCCTCAGTGATGGCTCCTTGTCACCCAGAGGATTAATTTTATAATTCTTCTTCCCTTAGCTATTATGTCAAAACCAATGGCCTGATACAGGTGAGAAGTGGAGGGGTGGGGTCAATCCAGAGACTGAGTTCAGTTCGGTTCATGGATGGCAGGGGCCTGTGATACTTGGGAGAGGAGCTCCTGGCCAGGCAGTGTGGGATCTGAGGATCAGTTTCTGTAATGATCGCCCATTGGAAAGGGTCGATTCAAAAGTATAGTCATTAAGGTAAAATGTGCAAATTAGTTTGGAAAGGCATGCTACCAATCGAATAGCAAGCTTCCTAAAATCCTTTCATTCTTTCTCCTAAGATGAATGGTATCTTGCCTAGAGCTGGTCATTCATTCATTCACTCACTCATTCATCTCATTCATTCTATATACCTCCCGGTACCAGGGCCCCATCTGAAACTGTGCCCCTTGGCTTAGCTCCTGAGTGTCTATCTGTGAGTCTGGGCAAATGTTGGCCCCCTTATGGCTGGCTGCTGGTCACCGGCTTATTTCTCTCCCCCTGCTCTGAGATAATTTCCCACCTATCAGCTGACGAATACCAGAACCTGCTTCCCTTCGGGCTGATAGGCAGCAGAGCCTGGCGGCATCTGTGTTGTTATACAAGTGCTTTAATTTTGCATTTAAATTCCAAAAAAATCCCTTAGATGCTATCATTTGCAAACTGACTCGAGAAATACCAAATCACAAGGAAATTACAGCACAATAAGTATTTTAATCACTTTTTATTGCTTGCAATCAACTTGACAAATAAAAAATTACTCGAGTATTATTTTTTAAAACATCCGGTAATTAGGTCTCTTGTTTCGCATCTTCCTGGAACCCAGTGAGCTTTGCAATGCGTGCTGCTGAATTCTAAAGCAACAGGACTGAGACCCATCTCTTAGCTGAAAAACTTGAATTTCTTTACTTAAAAAATCCTCCGGGGACTAGAGACACGGCTCAGTGGTAAAGAGCAGGTATAGCTCTTGCAGAAGACCAGAGTTCGATTCCAGCACCCACACAGGGCAGTTCACAACCACCTGTAACACCTCTGGCCTCCCCGGACTCCTGCACTCACGAGTGCATACTCTCACACAGACACACATGCATAGGTAGAAATACAAATAATAAAAACAAATTTAAAAAAAAAATCTTCTTACTGTGTGTGGTGGCACATGCCTGGAATCCCAGCACTCAGGAAGATTATTAGAAACTAGCCTGGGCTATATAAAGAAATCTTATCTACAAACAAAAACAAAACAACAAACAGACAAAAAAACAAACAAACAAACAAAAAAAAACAGCCATAGGCCAGCAAAACACTTGTCATGCAAACCTGATGATAGGAGTTTGAGCAGAGTCCATGGTGGAAGGGGAGATGTGGCCCCACAAGTTATCTTCTAACCTCTACATTAGTGCCATGGCACCTGTGCATCTACACACACACACACACACACACACACACACACACACACACACACCCTGAAACCAAACAAACGTTTAAAACGAAACAAAAACAAAACAAAAAAACCCTCCAAGAGCTGTGTATGGTGCTATGCCTTTCACCCCAGCACTTCAGAGGCGGAGACAGGTAGAACTCTGTGAGTTCGAGGCCAGCCTGATTTACAAAGCAAGTTCCTGGACAGCCAGGGTTGTTGCACAGAGAAACCCTGACTTGAAAAAACAAAACAAAACAAAAAAACAAATCAACAAAACAAAAAACAAAAACAACCACCCCAAAACTAAAACAGCAACAACAAAAGCACTCACCTGATCAAATTTCTGATTTCTTAAACTTTCAGTGGTGTTCCTTGGGGAAGCTTATTTTTCAAATTATAACACATCTGCAACCCCAACATTCTGGAGTCAGAGGCAGGAGCACTGCCACAAATTCAAAGTCAGCCTGGTCTTTACCGCAAGGTCCAGGCCGGCCAGGGCACCATAATGAGACTCTATCTCCAATAAGATAAGATAAGATAAAATAAAATCTTAATGTAATTCAGGCCCCTGAGAAGTGCATCTCCACAGCGACCTCCTGCCCACTTCTGATTGTCCCACGAAATCCACCGAGACAGTGGGTAGTCACTTCTCTCCAGACCTGGACCCCAAACTTCCCTCTGTTTCCTATTATGCCTCCTTCTTCCATTTTTTATTTTCTTTATATGTTAAAAAGACAGATTTAGCTATTCAAAAAGAATAATGAATGTCTTGGAGGACAGCGTCTCATCATAATTTCCAAGCCAGGATAAAAACACTTTATTTTTAGTTTCTTAGGCAAACATTCCTAATAGCACAGTGAAATTATGGGTCATCGGTGACATCAGACTTTTGGGAGGTCTGTGGTCACAGAGTAATTTGAAAGTTGCAGTTGGAATCTGATGAAATCACAGTGGGTATTGCAAGAGACACCCTTGTAGAAATTTGAAAATGATCTGGAGGCTGCTTAGTTAGTTCATGTATTGGTTTTAAATATGTGTTTCTGTGTACTTCTCGCAAGTTGTAATTAGCATGCGCGCTCTGTCACACCACAGGCATTGTCAGTGACTTTTATAAATATGCATTTGCTTCCTAATTACTCCATGGAACTGAATGCCAGCCACGTATGCGTTCACCTTTAATCACTGCACAGCTCTGCCAAAGACTTAATTACAAAGGAAAAGATGGGATCCTTTCCATCGGCTTTGCGTTCTTTCATCAGGCGCGTTGCATTGTGGGGTATCCAGGACTTCAATCTGTTTATCTCAATACCAACAGTTCTTGTTCATGTACAATGTATTCACTTGTTCTTTCTATCTTTAGTGAGCGATGTCTGTATCTCGGGTACTCTTCTGGTTCTGAGGAAAGGCAGAAGTATCAGAAGGCAGTTCACCCAGTGTTTTCAGTCCAGATCTCATTAACTACCACCTTTGAGCTGGAGCAATCACGACGAGCCTTGAAGAGTGAGAGGAGCTGGCCAGCAAGTTTTTAAATAAATGTATTGCTGTAAAACTTCTTTGTAACACAGCTTCATGCAATGTGAGTAGTAAGTACCAGAAATGTATTTAAGAAGGAAAGATACCTGGACTCTTTCCTCTTAGGATAAAGGAACTGCTATGCTTGGATGGTATGGTAGTTTGAATGTAATTGGCCCCCTTAAGCTCATAGGGAGTGGCACTTTTAGGAGGTGTGGCTTTGTTGGATTAGATTTGGCCTTATTGGAGGAAGTGTGTCACTGTGGGGAGGGCTTTGAAGTTTCCTGTGCTTGGAATAGCACCCAAGTGAGTCAGTTGACTTCCTGTTGCCTGCAAGATGTAGGACTCTCAGCTCCCTCTCCAGTACTGTGTCTGCCTGCATGCGACCATGCTCCCCACAATATTGGTAATGGTTGAACCTCTGGAAATGTAAGTGAGCCACCTCAATGAAATGTTTCCATTTACAAGAGTTGCCGTGGCCATGGTGTCTCTTCACAGCAATGAAAACCCTAACTAAGACAGATGTGTTGCCGAAAGGCTGTGTGTTAAAAGCTTGATTGACAACTTGTGGTACTACTGGGAGATGTAGACCCTTTAAAGAGATGTAGCCCATTGGGAGGGTAGTTATATCAATTAGATTATGACCCTCTTCTTTGTCTTTCAGTCCCAGGCTACCAAGTGAAGAGCAGCCACCTCCACCGTGCACCTTGGCATGAGACTCTGCCTCCTCACGTTCCCTAGAGCAAGGGACCCTTTGGATCATGAGCCCAAACTCTCCGTCCTCCCTAAATTGATTTGTCTCATGACCAGCAGTGAGATGCTCTGGTTTTCACCGCTTCTTCTGACTCGAGGGATTTAATGTTTTTCCGAAAGCAGTGCAGGAGTTGTTACTGTGGACAGACACACGGACGAAAGTGGAGCTGTGCAAAGCGTGTGTGACTGTGGTAAGGCCCAGCCTATCCCTGCCTTTCCTCCTGGACATTTTTGGTCTTCACCCTGTATTTTCCTCAGAGAAACTCTTCAAAGGACAGCTCCAGTTACTTACCTCAAACCGTCACAGTAAAACTGACGCTGCAGTTCTGTAGTATTTGGTTTCAATAAGACAAAAATAAACACAAATTACATCCATTTAGCTTTTATTTTAAATCATCTGCTGGGATTCTGGTCTCCTTCTAGAAACATAATTGTGTATCAGTTAACAATCCAACATAGGAAGATTATAGGTGTAATTCAGGGTAGAAAATGACTAGGGAGCATTTTCTAAAATTGTAAATTGAAATGAACTCTGTAGAAACAGCTAAATGACTTGGCAATGCTAAACCCTCGCCGAACCGACAGAGGATGACTGGGGAGACAGCTAGCCACCCAGGTTGGTGCTTGCTGCATACCAGGCTCTGATGGCTGTCCAATCAGGTTTCAGTCATCTGAGTTTACTTCCCCCAGCATGTCTGTCTGCCTTCCTCCCTCTGTGGTCTACCATGTTGTGGACATGCGTCTGTTTGTTAGGATGTAGATCTGGCTGCAGTGAACAGAGATGGACTGCATAATAGGGGCTTAAATAATGGCCAGGGTTTGAGTTCTTCCAAATTCAGCCCAAGATGGCTCAAGGAATCTACTTCACTGAGTCGTTAGGGAGCTTGGCTTCCTGCCTTTTCGATTCCACAGAATGGAAGAGCCCCTTCAACGCCGTAACCTGAAGGTGGCACATATTGAGACTGCTTATATCCACCCTGTCAATGGGAATGGTCACATGTCACACCCAGCTGGAAGGAAGCTAAAAATTTTTGTTTCTCTTTCGGTTGGCTGTGTGCTCAGCTAAATAATTATTATTGCAAAAAAAAGAGGCAGATGGATAGGAAGGAGCAAACAATAGCTTAGGGATAAATGTCATATTAAATATTCACCCTCAGGATCAAAGTTATATATTGATTGTTCTCAGAGTGTGATGCCTATTCCAGAAGCATCAGCATCGCATGGACACTTGATAACAACTCAAATTCTCCCACCCTCTACCTGACAGCTCCTCAGTTAAAAACTGGTGAGTGTCAGTGAGCCTTCTGAGGGATTCTAGTGCCTGCTAAGGTTCGAGAACCACTGATCTGGGGTTCACTTTTCCAAAATAGCTAAGCTGGAGGCTGGATAGTAAGGGAGAGGGTGACTCAGGAAGGTGCAGAAGTGATCAGCTCCTGGTCCTTGACTGTGAAGTCACTCCATCTGAGTCTCTCCCAGGGCTGGCTTACTGACTCAGCATCCAGAACTCCCTCTGCTGCCCCTGGCAAGCCTGCCCACCACTGGCACTTTGCTTGCCAGAGTGAAATGACAGATCTGGCAAGGAGGGCATATGAGTCTCCACTCATCGTCATCCCTCCTCTTCCCTTCTTCTGGGACTCACCAGCCTCGGTCTCTCCCTCTCCATTCTGGAGTGATTTTTGGAGGATCTCTGCAGAGCAGATGTCCCTGAGTGGGCATCCGACGTCTCATACTGTATTGCCTTTTGCCCAAACAGCTCATTATGCTGCTGACGTCCCTCCACTCAGCAGAGATGGGGAAAGGGAACAATGACTCAATGATGAGTGGATAGGATGGAGAATATTCTACCTCTGAGACAGCACACCCCTTCCCCCCTGCACTCTCCTGACTGTCAACACTGGCGTCTGTCAGCTGGTGGCCAGACATCTGAACAGACTTTGCCAATTAGAGAAGTCACACCTCTTGGTTGGCAGGCACATGCTATTGTGCCTGAGACCACAGCAGAGAGCCATATGGCTTTCACAAAAAGGATTTGCCAAGGGAGAAACAGGGGGTGCCCCTGAGGGCACCCTGTGTCAGGTGGGGAGGCCCTTTCTGATGAAGTTCACAGGTAAAGCTGGAGGGTGGGCTGTTATTTGACGTGGCTATAACTCAGAGCTATTGTGACTCCACTTCAAATCATCACTTCCTTCAGGGGACGCTTGTATAGAATTTGTCTTGGCACCCTGAAGCTCCTTCTGTTCTTTTGTTCTTCGGCATTTCCCCAGGTCTCTGATGGTGAACTCTAGAGTGTTGCTCCGCTGTGTGGGGGAAAAGAGAACAGGGGAATAACAGTTGCCGCCCCCCGCAGTTGTAAAGGCTGCTGCAAACCCCGCTCAAATTGTTCATCCCATCCCAGGGCAGTTTGGAATGACAGCGAAAGCAGAACTGATGCTTGATTTTCCACGTGGGGAAGGAAGAAAGGAAAACGGGGCTGGCAGTTCGGATTTGAATCCTGGTCCTCCACAGGTGGGCAGTGAGTCGATCACTCAGCTGCCACGCTGGCATCAGTTTCTCAATGAACTGAAGGGACTCTAAGGCTGTGCTGGACTACAGCATCTTTATGTCCAAGACCCCCGTTAAAGCAGAATGTGGACATGATCTACCACAGAAATTATCCATATGTAAGCTTATCTTTCCTCTTAATTTTTATGTTGAAAATTTCCAACATTCACAAAAATAGTGAAAAAAAATATAAAGAGCCCATATGCTAAAAACCAATTTTAACACTCTCTTGTTTTCTCTGGCAACAAACAAAGAGAACAAAACAAAACCCACAATATATTTTTAAATCTTTATTTTGTGTGTGTTCATGTGTGTATGTGTTCCTTGTCTGTGTGTATGTATGTTCTTATGTGTGTGTTCTTTCTATTTATATATGTGTGTCTGTATATGTGTATATATATTCTTATGTGAGTATGTATATGTGTGTGTTCTTGTGTGTGTGTGCTCCTTCTGTTCATGCATGTGTGTGTTCCTTCTGTTTATGTGTGTGAGTGTGTGTGTGTGTGTGTGTGTGTGTGTGTGTGTGTGTGTGTGTATTAGCCTTTGGCATTGTTCCTCAAGAGCTAGCCACCTTGTTTTTTGAGAGGGGTTTCTCACTGACCTAAAGCTCTCTGATTAGGCTGGGTGGCCTGGCCATTGAGACTTAGGAATCCTCCTGTCTCTGCCTCCCCAGTGTTGGATTATAAGCACCATCATACCTGGCTTTTTCACACAGCATAACGGGGAACTCAATTCCAATCTCTATGTTTATACAACAAACACCTGGCCCACTGGATCCCCTAAGTGTTTTAATTTTTAAGTGGTAAATAAAATCCTATGAATATATACATACTAACACATACTAAGGAATGGTTAATTCAGGGTAAAGAACATATACTTCTCTCACATAGTTATTATTTTTTATGGTGAGAGTACTTTAAATCCACTCTCGGGATTTTCAAGATTAATGTGGTTAGCGTGGTAGGGAACAGGATAGTATGATGGTGGTACCCGTGGGCAGATGGTCTTTGGTTGTATAAAACAGAATAAGCCATGGAAGGCAAGCCAGTGAGCAGTATTCCTCCATGGTTTTGCTTTAGCTCCTGCCTCCACGTTCCTGCCTTGAGTGTCTTCCCTGACTTCTCTCGATAATGAACTGTAACTTCTAAGCTGCAATAAACCCTTTTGTCTCCGTGTTGTTGTTTTTTCAGTGTCTATCGCATGTGTTTTGGAGAAACGTGGAAGACTTTGGAACTTTGGATTAGAAAAGCAATTGCATGCTGCAAGCAGATCTTAAAAGACCATTCTAGTAGAAGCCTGGGAGACAATAGTACTTGTGGTGGTAATCTAATTGTATTGAAATATTATT